GCAACCATACATTTGTGTTGTGTTTTACTTTCTTTCTTTTATATTAATTTATAGTAATTTATCATTTAATCATTCAACTTATTGGCTGATAGAAGACAGTTAATAGAGTTTTGGGTATTTTGGGTACCAGACAAGACTTCCTGTTAACAGGTTTTGGGTATTACACTACTTTGCTGACGAGTTGTTCTGTTACCAGAAATAACAGATATTTTCTGATGGGATCTGGCGTCCGGGGCTTCATCTTAATTATCTGGCGTGGAAGCATGATCTAACACTGGAGAAAAAAACTAATATTCTAGAGAGGCATTTGTTTTGCTTACATAATACGTGTACAGAGGTTATATGTATCTCTAAAGTAATTTACTCAAGCACGTGCGTTAGCAGTTCACTCAGATTCATTTCTTAAGCAAAGCGTCACAGTGTCTGCTGCTGTGAATCTCTTTTAGCTGTCTGTTGTCTTCACTGCACTCAGGGACCTTTAAACAGATCATGCAGATGATGCATTATGCAGGTGATGTGAATAATGAGCTCATTCTCTTGACAATTTAGTTTTAAGATCACAATGAACCTCTGATCATCACAAATAACTGAATCATTTAAAGCAGATGTATAATGTAAAATAATCAATACATGCCACAATTTACACGGACGAGTGGAAACTATGACATTTTCAGTTATTGTAAAAATGATTGTATAATTGTAACATAATTCTTACGTGGTTTATTCTTCTTCCTCATAGGTTGAGCATAGGTTGCATCACCAGCATCAGCACCTGAAGAACACAAATGATAAATAACAGCAAACTAATGATAAAATACATGATTTTCTTCAACAAGCCACGTGACTTTAGGAATCATTGTGATGTGTAGCAGAAACGGTGCTTGATGGTTCATTCTTAAGGTGAGTGGTTTGACTGTAAAAGTGATGAAGCTTGACTTTGTGTTTCTCTCACCTCTGTCTGTGTTGTGCTTCAGTTCAGAGTACAAAGTGTCTCCAGACTCACTGCTCTTTCCTGATACAGAACAACAGACATTTGAACTACATTAATAACTGATCATATGAGGACGGAGCGATGGCTCAAATCACAAAGAAACCACAGAAGAGTATATTGATTAAAAATGTTAATCAGTGTATTGATTAATAAGTGTGAATATCATTTCCAGCCAACAGAATTACAATCAATCATTCTAATTATTTTATTTTATTAGCAGGTTCTGTAAAAATATTTAGGCTATATTATTTTAAACATTTTCACATGATCTGTAACCTGCTGATGACAACATTTCAGATCATCTCTTTATTTACCTCTTTGTTTGTCCTTAGATTTCATTTCAAACAGAATATTACGAAGTCCAGCCCCTATCATGAAAAACAAGAGGTTGGTTATGTGACTCTCTGCCTATAGGCCTGTTTTATTTCTGATCTAAATTCAGGAACGCAGAACCAGGCAGATGTGAATGTTGTGTGCTTTTGTGTTTCTAAAAACGTGAATTGGTTCTATCAGTCTTTATGTTTGTAAAGGGTTTATTTTTCTGATAAAATTACTTTATCAGCGTTAAATGTGATGAAATGTGATGATGCAGTTTGCTGTGTGTTTACCTTTGCCTTTGGTTTTCTTTTTGTCCTGTAAATCAATCTGTGCATAAACCAGATCACTGGGTCCTGCAGTATTAATATCTAATACAGAGGATCAGTCAAAGTGTTCAGAACAAGCTGGAAATATTGTACTTTAGGAAAAACAGGATCTCACCATTGCTTTTGGATTTCTTTACTTTGTTTCTGACTTCTGAGTATGTCACATCATTTGGCTCTGGCATGCTATCATCTAGAAAAAAAATATCAGAAAGAAATATGCACTTTTATTTAATTAATTAGAAAAGTATTAATGTCTCTGACGATGACCATATTGTTCAGGTGAAGTTAAGAGAATGTATGTTAACCTTTGTCCATCTTTTTCTTGTTTTTCTTGACAGTGACCTCTGAATATGTGACATCTGCCAATGGCTCCGGATCACCTTAAAAAAAGCTTATATGATTAAATGAATGATATTTGTTGATTTTGAATGATATGTGTTTAAATTAGGCTTATGAATCAACCTTTATCTCTCTTATTCACTTCAGTCACAACGTCATAAATGTGATCAGAACCTGCTGGACAGCAAACAAGCATTTAAGGATAAAAGGTACAAAGATATATATATATATATATATATAAGTTTAAAGGAATAGTTCAAAAATTTGAAGAATGTTCTGGTGTCCAATCACCATTAGGCCCCACTGACTTTAATTGTATGGGAAAAAAATAAAGCAACTGAGACCATTTTGAAAATATCCACAGAAGACTATCACTTTAAATGATTAGTTATTGAGGCTGACCAGACTGTAGAGGAGATTTTTGGGGTTGAGATTCTCCAGATTGATTTGGGACTGATGTCTGGTTAATGTTACGCTGCTGATCTATAATAGAAACAAAGAGCATTATGGTCACTTAAGAGTATCTGCAGTGATTACAGTGACTCTTTAGGCTGAAATTTAGATCTTCTCATGAGCCTTTATTCATAAACTGTATCTTTCATTTGTTGCTGTTCAGTTGTATTAATCATGTCATGAACTGCTCCACACCTTTGTTCTTCTTGTATCTCCACAGCAGCAGCAGTGAGATGAAGAACAACAAGCAAACACTCAATCCCACAACCACACCAATGACCAGAAGAGAAGATGAAGCTGCGAGACAGGACAATATGACAAACATGCAGATCTGTTCGTGAGTGACATACTGCATTATACTATTACAAAGGTACATAAAATCACTCAATATTCCCAGACCTCTGACTTTACACCCATGCCGCCGCTGGGTATAACACTAATTTCATCAGAAAGATAGCATTTATGTTTATGCATCCGACACATTCTATAATAAACCTTGTTTTGCTAAAAGCAGGTATGTTTAAACCACCCAAAACTGATAATTACTTAATTTTTTTGTGCATCATGTAGTGCCTGGTAATGCTAGTGTTTATCACAGTATTTACTCACCATTAACAGACAGATGTATTCGTTTACTCTCCTGTGATGATTTTGGTCTTTTATCTCTCTGTCCTCTACACGTGTACTGATACTGATCAGCTGTAATTACTCCTCTGATAGTGAGAGTGTCTCTGTTTACAGTGTAACGATCAGACGTCTGTAACATTACACTGTCTGTGCCTTTATACCACTCATATCTCCAGTTACTGTGAGACTCAATCACACACTTCAGAGTGACTGTCTCTCCAGTGAACACAGGACTGTCTGGAGTCACAGTTAGTGTAGATCTGGGTGAATCTGTGAAGAAAGAAGACGGAGCTCTTTCAGTGAACTAGTCAGAAACACGATCTGATCCTCTGAGTTCCTGTATTTGTGTGACACTGATGTTAAAGAGGAGAGATGTGGAGAGAAGAGTGATGGTCTCATAGTGTATGTATGTATGTATTTATTTAATTAATTACACTGAGAACTTTAAATATTAACTTTTATTTCCACTAGTAAAGGAATGAATCGTTAACCTGTTTCTTAGCTTTCTTTTTTTTTTTGGCTTACATGAATGCATAACATATGATTAAGAAAAAAAAATAACTAACAAACTTTGAGTGTAACTGCCATAATGATTAATAATCACTGAGAAATGTTCCACTTTACAGCTTTATTTGTCTCAGTATAATACTCACTAAAGATGAACTGCTGTGAAACACCTGGACAGTCTGAACTTTCAGTGACGGAGTGTTATATTGCTGTCTTGTGTTCCTCTGTTTTGTGTTTAAGGACTTTTGTTTTAAAGTATATTTGGTTCCTTGCCTCTCTTCACTTCCTGTGTCTAGTTCCTGTTTGCTATGTGCCTTGTTTGTTACCACAGTTACTTTCGTCTGTTTCGATGAGGATTAATCAGCCTCTTGTTACGCAGTGTGTTTAAACTCCAGTCTTTTGCTTGTTCTTTGTCTGGTGTCCTTTATGGATGTGTCTGTGTTGTTTTCAGTGCAGTCTTGCCTTCTTTACCCTTTGTCTGGCTTTATTCTGTTTTTGCCTTCGTCTTTGTTGTCTGGATCTACTTTTGATTATGTGTTGTTAATAAATGATCCTAATCTCTCCCTCTACTCTGAAACACCCTCCTTACACTGAGTTATAACGTCTGTTTCTGGTCACGTATAATGTTCTGCCAGTGAGAATTATTTCACTGCAGCAGTGCTTCCCTGTGAGTTGTTCTGTGTACAAGTTAAAGCTTGTGAAGGCTGACAGTGAACAAAAAAAAATACACAACCACTGTCATATCAGATCTAGCATCCATAACCAGCTTTTTTTTACCAGTAGTTATGTTTTGTTTCTGCATTTCATCATTTGTCTCTGTGTCATGAGATTTAGGTTACTACAAATGAATAGTGAGATTAAATGCATTAAATGCGCAAAAGAAAGTGTGACATTCATATTGACCATGACATGTAGTAAAGTGAGTTTATGAGGACAATGATATTCAGCTCACCCGTCACAGAGAGAGAAACAGAGCTTGATTGTGATGAGTTTGGTCTTTTATCTCTCTGTCCTCTACACGTGTACTGATCCTGATCAGCTGTAATTACTCCTCTGATAGTGAGAGTGTCTCTGTTTACAGTGTAACGATCAGACGTATGTGACATTACACTGTCTTTATACCACTCATATCTCCAGTTACTGTGATCAGGCTTTATCACACACTTCAGAGTGACTGTCTCTCCAGTGAACACAGGACTGTCTGGAGTCACAGTCAGTGTAGATCTGGGTAAATCTGTGAAGAAAACAAAATTTTACTAAAAACACAGAACACACAAGACGTGAGTTTGCAGTGCAGAGTGACAATCATATGAGAAAATGTCATGAAGGTGTTATAAAACAAATCCATATGAATCTAGCAGTTTAATCCAATTCTTGAGAAGAGATACGATCACTTTATATGATACATAGATTGTAATTGTAAAATTGTATTCACATATTCACATGCTTTTCGGGATATTCTAAGTTTTGGTTTCCTGGACGTTTAATGGAGGAACAGAAACCTCTCAGATTTTATTTAGGTTTCATAATTTGTTTAAAAGATGATCACTGCACAGCATCTGTCCTGTAAAGAAACATCTGACACAA